TTTTTTCTCCCCAGAAAAGCATGCTGATATTACATCTGTCACAAAGATGCTTCCATTAGCTGGAAGGACGGTTTCATCTTAAAGAAAGCTTCAGACTGCTGACCTCAAATACAGAAATAAAGTGAACAGAATGGCTTCATTTAGTTTCATTCGCTTCCTTCTTTCACATCAAACATGTTACTGCTGTTTGCATCTTCCTTCTGAAAAGTTTGATAACCTTAAGTGCAGGTTTTTATACAGAACACAAGCTGGTACCACATACAATTCATTTCTTTTGGACATCCAAGAATGCAAATAGTTGTTCGGGGTTTTTTGCCCCACCCTCCAATGACGCTGGGGAAATTTCAGCCTCAATCACACACTAAGTTTCATTTAAGGGTAAATAGAAACTGAAAAGCTCCAATCTGCATTACAGAAGAATTACTTTTAATTTCATGGTTTAGAGAACACACGTCACCATGGCTTCATTCAGGATACCTAAAAATAGGTCAAGTTAAATTAACCTCTGTCAAATGCATTCTCAACAGAACATTGATGTCAGTTTCACTTACCAACAGCACCACTAGGTTTCATTTTACAGCAAACAGTACTACTGCTTCCTTGTTTTCACGTGATGAGAGCACACATTTAAAAACAAATAATGAATTCCTCCTCTGGCCTCACCTTCTAGGATCAAATTAAATCCCAGTCCTCTGGCCTCCCTGACTTGAAAGCTTCAGGACCCTTGGTACCATTTATCACATAATCCCACTTGCCTATATCACTGTGGTGTTACATAACCTAGAAGAGCAGCTTTCCAGAGAGCTGAGACTTGGAGAGAAGTCTAACACTTTCCTCCAACAAGCTTATTCTAGTGTTTGAAATGTTGCCAGTCATGTTTATTCCCAATTGCTGCCTCTAACATTAGTGCTGCTTCATTTTAAACCAGTTGTGTTTTGTACTCTAGTGTAATTTGGTCAATATGTATGAATAAAATATGAATGGAGCAGAGCTGCTTAGGAGCAATGTTGAATTTTCTTCTGACACCACTTTTTGACTCCCCAGTAAGGCTGTTCGATATTTCACTTGACGGGGGTGTGGGTGGTCCTATGTCGTTGCATTACTACATTGCGTGAGTAAGCGGTTTCGTGGGTGCAGTATCAAATTGAGCATCAACGTATAAGGTTGTGTTGCTGTGCCAGTTGTTTTGTGCGCCAAATTAACCAATATCATCATTACAGACAGTGATACCAGTCAAGTAATAAGAAAGGATATGAAGCTTGGTATGTGACTGACTGTGTTTTAGACCTTTCCATGCTGTCCCAATGATAGGAGCCTTGTGTGTTGTTTTTGTCTTGGCGTTTTATCTCTTTTTGGTGTGTCTCTCTTGATTATTTCAGGAATATGTGTCTCTCTCTCTGGTCATCATTGTCATAGCGTGGTGCGCGTTTCGTATTTGCCCTGCCATATTTTGTGGTTGGTGCTTAGGCTCTGTCCGGCTGCTTACTGTTTTGTTTTTTGTTTTCGTTTTGGTTTAAAGCAACACCGCGCCGTTCTCCCCGTTCCGATGCCTTAGCCTGGGAGTGGCTTTTTGCAGTTCTGGCCACTAGCTCCATTTGCGAGCTCTTTTATGCCGCGTGCTGCTTGCGTTCCTGCTTTGTTGCCTCTCTCACCCTGCGCCCTTGACCCCTTTTTCCCTCATTTGGGCTTTTCTGCTGTCCCACGTCCTGCCTTCCTCTTCCTCTCACGCTCTCCCCTTCCTGTGTTTTCTTTCTGTTCTGCTTCAGGGTAAAATGGCTTTCCTGGCAGCAAATAGCTGTTTCATTTCCTACAGTGACAACGGGGACATTGTGGCCAAGAGCAAGACAGCAGGGGATGGCGAGATGGTGAAGGTGATGTGTAAATAGTGTTCTTCCACAAGGTTGCATGTTAATCCTTTGATTTTAAGCATGCAATCTCTGTAGGGGCCTGACTGTTAAGTGGGAAGGGGGAAATGTTGTGACCTCACTTCATGGAGTTCAAGGTATTGATATGTAACGCACCACTTCCCTCCTGCTCCTCTCTTTCTCTCTCTCCCTCTTTCTTTCTTCTTTCTCTTTGTTTTTTGTTTTTTTCCCCACTGGACAAAGAACAGATCCGAACCTGTGCAGAACGAGAGGTCAAGCGTAAAGATGACATTGCAGATGAGGACAGGGGCAACGTGAAGTCCTGCGAGATCAATTATGTGTACGTAACCTCTGCTGTTTATAAGCGGTGCTTATGAAATGTGTAAGCAGCCCAAACAAAGACTAATGAAGGAAAAATGTTAAGTTCTCTTATATTTTCTTTGGAATCTTCTCCGTTAGAAAGGTTATCGTAAGTTAGAATAAGTAAATGTTATAATTACCTGTTATTCTTTGCTAAGTTCAGTAGATGCTTTTGTTCTCCTTTAATGTGAAGTTTAACTAGACGTTTCTGTTCTCTTTCCAAAATACCAAATTAATATCTTGATAAATGAGATATGATGGGTATGTAATGAAGATCTCTCGTTTATCGTCTTCTTAGTTCAAAATAGTCAGATACAATTGTTGAAATAGAGCCGATCTGTTGGTAAAATAACCCCTGAATTATTTGACTTGACAGCTACCTAAAAGCATTGGTTGTGTACATTTAACAGTAACTCAGAAATCAAGACGAGCCTAGAAATAAGTATAGCCGCTCGTTAAAATAATAATGAACCAATAATCATAGTTAATTATAACGGAAGTAGGGCGCATCCACTTCCCCTATTTATTAACTCTAAGAGAGCTTTGTTGGCAGACTCGCTCGAAAACAGTAACTGGTGTGCCTCTACTTCGGGAGAGGGGGCACATCATGCCCCGTCTTAGCAATAGATTGGTTAATAGTAGCCATAAAGTGGATCATGTGTTAACTATTGGCAAAGAGGGATGTGATCTGTAAGGATGGAGGAAATAATATTAGTCCAGTGTTATAGAAAGTCTATGAAGAGAATCAGGAATAGTCAGTATCGTAGGTATATGCGTTTGCTAAGCAGGGGTCTAGCTAGTACGGGATGAACATTTTCTAAAAATATTTAGTTTTAACCAGTTCCTATAACTGTGATTGATATTAAATAGAGTAACAATATAAAATAAATTTTCCATATAAACTGCTAGGTTCTTAACGGTATAAGGCGGTGCTTCTATAGCAAAGCTATAGGTATCAGTCAGTATGAGGTCTCATCGATAAGCTGCTCAAAAAACAACGTTTAACCTCCAGTGTTTACAACGTCATAAAAACATTACATTTAAAGGCATTCATTAAGAGGTACCAGGTACTTTTTTAGTACCTACTTGACTGGGTTTCCAAGTGAGTGGAGTCGCATGCCACTGATTGGCCAGCCAGTGGCATCACTGTTGTGAAAGCAACTTTTTGAAACCCAACAACAAGGGAAACAGCAGCACAAAAACCAACACCGTGTCTTTGAGTCTGACTAAAAGCTGTAGACGGAGCAGCAGATGTACCATCACCTCAACGTTCTTCATTGTTTTGTTGTGTTTGTTGTGTGCTTCTCGATGTTCCAAAACAGTGAGCTGCATCTACACATGATGCTTCGGTTTCAGAGGTTAGAAGACTGAAAAATGCCCAATTTAAAATCGTTATGTTAGAAAAGGCCAAAGCTTATGCAACGGATAGTTAGAAAAAAGGTCGAATTAAGTCTTAATGCCCGTTGGGTTAGCGATAATCCTCTGTTCATTCCCATCGGAATAAAAGATTCGTACGTGAGGTCGCAATTCTGTCGAGGATCCAAGTCAGTAGAACATATTTCGCTTTTGCGTGTTTGTCCATAATGAGCTGAATGAAATGTGTACACTAGACAGTGGACTCTGGTTATTCGTAGGATTGAGAACACCAGGGATTTTGGACAGCCAAGAAAAGTTTAGTATTGTTATAAAGATTATACTTGCTAAGGAAAAGTATGTTGGGTGTGTGGGAATCTGATGGGTTTGGTGTTTGTCCGTTGCCATGGCAGGTAGTAATAATATTCCAGAGCGGTATCGCATCGACACATCTCTGTCATTCTGCCGTAACAGGTACAGAAAGGCGATCATTCAAATGATATCCCACTTTTTCCGTCTCATGTTTCTGTACTGTGGAAATAGTCTTATTTGTCTTTGATAACTTTCTTTGTAAAATTCGGTATGGTAAACTTTTTGTGTCACTTATGATTGCTCTTAAAAGGTAGGGATATGTTGTCAAACTTGGACGAGCACTAAAACTCTCCTGAATGTTGCTTTTCCTGGATTCCAAAGTAAAACTAACACTTAAAAAATTTGGAATCAATGTCATTGCAACTATTTTGACATTTTACAGTTTCAGTGCCGAGCACTCATTGCTCCCCAAAACGGGGACGTGGTAAAAATTAAGGGTCTAAGAATTATACATTTATACTTATGATTAAATATAAATCTCTTGATCATCTAGAAATATCTTAAAGTGTCAGTCTTCCATTGCATAGGCGTCTTTGTTTAATACAGCAAAAAACACTATGTTTGTACTGGGTGTGAAAGCAAGCTATTGCAAGACGCTCTCTAAAAGAGATCTGGCCTCTTTCTCAGGCACAATTAAGTGAAATTCATAAAAATGGTTGAATTTGATTGGGATTCGCTTACAGGGAGTAGAGTTAGCAGGAAGCTGCGGAAGCGTTGTAGATGAGGCTCGCTAAGTACGTTGCCAGGGCCTGAGGGGCTGCATTTTCTACTCTCCAAATGCTTAGTGTTTTATCTATGCATATAACAGCTACTATTCCTGTGGCCTGTATGGTATTAAGGATTCGACGATTTTCGTGGAGCAAATAAGTTTCTTGATCAGACTCTGCTAGTGGGACTCTTGTCTCTGTTATATCTTCTCTATATTTGAAGTAGCATGTAGAGACATCTAAGAACTTCAGTCTGAAGCTGTGTTTTTGTTAGTTTTTTTGCTTGGCATGCTTTGGCTTTCGTTGGCCACTATTATTTGTTTTAGATGAATGCGGGGGAAATGGACTCATCTTGCTGACATGTTGATAATGGCTGCCCTTGAGCCTGTGTCTTGATGTAGTGTTTAGCGTCTGAAATGCTTTTCAGGATGGAGTGTGCCTTGGGAACAGCAAAATGCAGGCAGAATGGGAGAGAAAGTAAATATCGGAGAGGTTTCCGACACTGATACAGACATAACACAAAAACAGGGCTGCTGAAGCTGGAGGGACAAACACTAACACTTTCCCCTTATAAAGGCGACATGTATGTTATAATCGGAATTTGGTATATGGGTTGGTTGAACGTATGATTTATTTATTAAGATAAGTGATCATAAGTTGTCTAAAAGCGTGGCTTAATGTGAAAAATTTTGGGGAGCATGGCAGGATTTGGCTGTGGAATTAACGTGACTGCACTAGTTTCTCATGTTTTTAGTCCACAAGCTGAGAAATATTATTTCATGCATATTTCAGCCACAATACGTGAAGCTTAATTCAAGTGCCGGGGCAAATGATAGTTTTTAATAACAAGGGGTTAAAAAATTCCACATTCCGGCATCCAACTTCAACGCTTCCGGCGCTGAGTATACTCATTAAATAAGAGCACTGATAATGGGGATTGTGGTCGCTGGATTGGCAGGAGCTGCGGTAGGCTTTTAACATAGCTTGGCCAGAGAAATGTTCAAGAAATTTAATCGGCTATATTTGACTGTTTTTAGGTGGGCGTAACTACAGTCAACATTTTAGATTGGAAATTGGATGGAATGGAAGAGGCATTAAGTTTAGGAATTATGTAGTTTTAATGGTTATAATTAAGCTTAATTGTATTGGATTTGCTTGAATTGTATTAGTTGAACTGTGATTTTTCTTGGGTGTGTTTGTTTGTGCGTGTGTTGTGTGTGTGTTTGTGTGTGTGTTGCTGTGTGCTGTGTGTGTGTTTATTAGTGTGTGTGTGTGTGTTGTGCTGTGTGTGTGTGGTGTGTGGTGTGTGTGGTGTGTTTGTTAGTGTGTGTGTGTTGTTTAGATATAAAACTCCAAGATACTGGGCAGCCGTCTACTCCAGCAGTGTTTTATATTGTCTCGCACGCTCGAAAGCAACTCTTTTTTTAACTTCAGTGGCGTAGCTTCACGATAGGTTCTGAGGGCGCGCGCCTGTCATAATAACGGTTCGATCCGGGCTACGAGATGGTGGTGCAGCTTTCTCAGCAAGAGACATTAGTGCATGTTTGTCGACTGGTTAACACAGTGTTTTAGTAGAGAAGGCTATATATGTACAAGTATGTACTTAGCTTTCTTGTTCTTATAAGATCATGAGATAGTGTCTCTTTTCTTTGTTATAAACTGAAGCGAAACTCCCTGTTAAGGGCTGTTTGTTGGTGTGTACCATATACGTAGCTGTTTTGTGTTGTTGAGGGGTTATTGCTTGAAATTGATTTCTGTGTACGAGGTTGTATTTACAGACGTAGTGTTTGTGTAGAAATATTAATGTTACTAACTGCTCTATATAGTCTGTCAGCTAGGCTGTTGGATATTCTAGAAAACATGTGTTAAGATACAGTCATATATGATAAAGTAGTGGCACAATTTATTATAAGATACAAGCATGTTGTGCTTACCTCACTTTAAATTTATCATGCTTTCACCTTATCTTGATTTGTGATTCCTTTTAAAAGAATAACTATACTGTTATAATGATAAGTTATTTACAATTTAAATAATGTAAGATATTTGATTTTGTAGTATAAATAAAATGTTCAGTTGATAAATATCCTAATCTGCCTCTTGAGATCTAGATTCATAGTTGGTGGTAATTATTTTTGGAATAAACTTGGCAACTGGAGGTCATCTAAGTAAATTATTCTTATAGTTTCTTTGTATAAACTGAACATATACGTATATATTGGTGCTGATTAACAAGCACACGTGAAAGATTATGTTCGCGCAGGGTTTTTATCTGTTTTGGCTTGCTTGGGCATACCTCTATTAACATAAGGCAGCAAAAGCATGCTGATATTACATCTGTCACAAAGATGCTTCCATTAGCTGGAAGGACGGTTTCATCTTAAAGAAAGCTTCAGACTGCTGACCTCAAATACAGAAATAAAGTGAACAGAATGGCTTCATTTAGTTTCATTCGCTTCCTTCTTTCACATCAAACATGTTACTGCTGTTTGCATCTTCCTTCTGAAAAGTTTGATAACCTTAAGTGCAGGTTTTTATACAGAACACAAGCTGGTACCACATACAATTCATTTCTTTTGGACATCCAAGAATGCAAATAGTTGTTCGGGGTTTTTTGCCCCACCCTCCAATGACGCTGGGGAAATTTCAGCCTCAATCACACACTAAGTTTCATTTAAGGGTAAATAGAAACTGAAAAGCTCCAATCTGCATTACAGAAGAATTACTTTTAATTTCATGGTTTAGAGAACACACGTCACCATGGCTTCATTCAGGATAC